GCCATTGCTTTCGATGGTGTATATAAAGATTCAGGTCACAGAAGAAGAAGTTTAAACACAGGTAGCCAGGTTTTCTGTACAATGCTTTTTCCCAACTGACTGCAGCGTCTGCTTCCCACAATGCATTGCGAACACAGATTACTCCTTCACAATAAGATACAGAAAAACTAATGCTGACTGTATAGAACATATTTTTTAACTAAATGACTCTCTTTTTTAACATAAATTACCACAGATGAAATATGACATTTTAATCTTTTACTTGGGACAGAACACTCCCCGCCTGGCATTACTGATGCCACTACTACTTTTTATCAGTCACTTCCTTTTCCAAGAGCACAACAACATCCGAAATGGGACGCAGGTAAGTCTTTGAGACTCCCTGGGAAGATGTCCTCACTTCGACCTTTCTGACCTTCCCATCACTGCTTGGAAAGGTGGCTGTGATGATAGCCATTGTCCATTCGTTTCTGGGTGCTTGATTTTGTTTCAACAACACAATGTCGCCTGACTGAAGATCGCGGCGTGTTCCATGCCACTTGCGCCTTGATTGGAGGGTGTTGAGATATTTGTTTCTCCAGCGACTCCAGAAACCATTGGCGAGTGCTTGCACTTGTTTCCATTGGTTCTTGAGCAAGTCTTTTCCACAAAAGTCTCCTGGTGGAGAAGGAACGCCCTGCTTTTGGGTCAGTATCATTGCAGGACAGAGTATGAATGGTGAGGAAGGGTCAGTTGAAATAGGGACCAAGGGCCTTGCATTGATTATAGACGATACCTCAGCCATTAGGGTACAAAGCACCTCATGTGTCAGACGGGTGTGTTTGTTCTGCAAGAGCATAGAATCCAATATTCGGCGAGTTACCCCAATCATCCTTTCCCAGACGCCCCCCATGTGAGAAGCATGTGGGGGGTTGAACTCCCATGTGCAACCGTTGGCATGAAGATGGTTGACAATGTCGGGAGGGTTCTTGTTTGGTTGTGCCATGCCAAGCTCCACGCTTGCTGCGATGAAGTTGGTGCCCCTGTCTGACCGCATTTGTTTGGCTGGGCCTCTTATCGCAAAGAATCTGCGTATTGCATTTATGCAGCTGCAAGTGTCCATAGATTCAATGACTTCGATGTGTACACCTCTTGTAGTCATACATGTAAAAAGTATCGCCCACCTCTTACTTTGTGCTGCGCCACCTCGTGTGCGTCGAGTAACCACTGACCATGGGCCAAACACGTCCAACCCGACATATGAAAATGGAGGGCATGTTTCAAGTCTTTCAGGTGGGAGATCTGCCATTTTTTGAGTCTCTAGTTTCCCCCTGAGTTTCTTGCATGTTACGCAACGGTGAATAATGGATGAGACCAGTCTTTTGCAGCCTACAATCCACAGTCCAGCTTGCCTAACTGCACTCTCTGTGAACTGCCTTCCTTGATGCACAACCTTAGCATGATAGTGCAGGACAAGCAACTTTGACACATGATGCTTGCTTGGCAGAATTTTTGGATTCTTTAATGTTGGGTCCAATGAAGCATGTTTGAGGCGACCTCCAACTTTGATGAGGTCGTCACCCATGAATGGGTCGAGGGCTACAATGGGGCTAGAGGCGTTGATGGTTTGTTTGGCTTGTAGAGCAGCATACTCATCAGGAAAAGTGTCCCTTTGAACAGACTGGAGAATGAGGTTACTGGCCGCATCCATCTCCTCTGGAGTGCGTGGTTCTCTGCATTTATGCCAGCCCCTGCATGAATGATTTGACGAGTTGCTTGATGAGTGAGAACGAGCTTGGTGAATTAAGAAGGCAATGGCA